AAAATATGTATAGTATAATCTCAATCTGTTTGTAATTTTTGAGGGCTGATTTGTGTCCCAGTATGTGATCTATTCCGGAGAACGTTCCATGTGCACTTGAGAAGAATGTGTATTCTGTTGCTTTAGGATGAAATGTTCTTAAAGTATCTGTTCATCCAGTCCAGTGTGTCATTCAAAGCCATTGTTTCCTTGTTGATTTTCTGTTTAGATGATCTGTTCATTGCTGTAAGTGGGGTGTTGAAGTCCCCTACTATTATGATATTATTATCAATGAGTTTGTTTATATTTGCGATTAATTGATTTCTATATTTAGGTACTCTCACATTTGAAGCATGAATATTTACAATTGTTAAGTCTTCTTGGTGGATAAACCCCTTAATTATGATATAATGCCCATCTTCATCTCTTATTACAGCCTTTATTTTAAAGTCTAGATTGTCTAATATAAGTCTGGCTATTCTGACTTTCTTTTGTCAACCATTAGCATGATTGTTCTCCATCCCCTTACTCAATCTGAAGACGTCTTTAGGTCTAGAGTGGGTCCTTGTAAACAGCATATCAATGGATCTTGTTTTCTTGTCCCTCTGTTACCCTATGTCTTTTGATTGGAACATTTAGACCATTAACCTTTAGAATGAGTACTGAAAGATATTAGTTTATTGAGATTATGTTTCTTGTAGATTTGGAGTTTCTGGTGATGTTCTCTGGTCCTTTCTAGTCTTTGTTACTTTTCATCTTTTTTTTTTTTTTTTTTGGTCTTTTCTCCCTTCAGATAATACTCCTTAAAATTTCTTGCAGGGCTGGTTTAGTGGTCATGAGCTTTAATTTTTGTTTGTCTGGGAAACTTTTAATTTCTTCTTCTATTCTGAATGACATACTTCTTGCTGGATAAAGAATACTTGGCTGCATATTTTTCCAATTCAGCACATTGACTATATCCTGCCACTCCTTTCTAGCCTGCCAACTTTCTGTGGCTAGGTCTACTTTGCACCTGATCTGTCTTCCCTTGTAGGTAAGGACTTTTTTTCCTTTGCTGCTTTCATGATTCTCTCCTTGCCTGAGTATTTTGTGAATCTGACTATGATATGCCTTGTTGGTGGTCAGTTTTTGTTAAATCTAATGGGAGTTCCTCTGTGCATCTTAGATTTTGATGTCTGTGTCTTTCACCAGGTTAGGAAGGTTTTCTGCTATGATTTGCTCACATAACCCTTCTACCCCTTTATCTCTCTCTTCATCTTATAGGACCCCTATGATTCTGATGTTGTTCCTTTTCAATAAGTCACTGATTTCTCTAATTCTTAAATCATGCTCTTTTGTCTTAGTCTCCCTCTTTTTTCCTGATTCACTTTTCTCCATAAGTTTGTTCTCTATATCACTGATTTGCTGCTCTGCCTCATCCATTCTTGCTGCCATGGCATCCATTAGAGAGTGCAGCTTATTTATAGCATTTTTTATTTCATCCTGACTAGCTTTTTCTTCTTTTATCTCTGCAGAAAAGGATTCTAATCTATTTTCAACCCCAGCTAGTATTATTATTTTGATTCTAAATTATGGTTCAGACATCTTGTTTGTATCTTTGTTAATTCTCTGGCTGTCATTTCTTCCTGCTATCTTTTTTGGGGTGAATTCCTTCATTTTATCATTTTGAAGGAATAAAAGGAATTAGTAAGGTAAAAAAATTAAAATTAAAATAATCAAAAACAACACACACACACACACACACACACACACACACAAATCAAATAAATGATGTTAGATCCTAGGTGTGTTTTGGTCTGGTGGTTGAAAGGTGCTTGATAAATTAGAGGAAAGAGGGAAGAAAAATAAAAAGGAAAAGGTTTGAAAATTTGAAAAAATGAATACAATGAAATAAAATAAAGTGAAATAATGGAAGTCAAATAGAATTTTAAAAATTTAGAAAAAACTAAAAAATATAGTAGAAAAATTTTAAAGAAAAATATTTTTAATAAAATTGAAAATAAAAATAAGTTTTTTCTTTCTATATAAGAGAAAAAGAAAAACAAAAAAGAAAAAAAAAAGAAAATTGAATAGATGGACCAGCAAACACACTGAAATACGACTGAAAATAAATTGTTTTCCCCTAGAAGTCAAACTATGAAGCACTTTATAGTCCATAAACTAAGCAAGCAGAGAGACTTGTGGTGTTCCTGACAAATGAGGTTGGCCCAGTTGGGCGGGGCTTAGTGTAACAGTTTTGTTCTCCACTAGATGGCACGGCTTAGCATGTTGTGTTGTTTGTAAGTGTGTATGCATTTGCGTGGGAGGGGTGAAAATGGCATCACCCAGCTACCCATTCTCTAGTATTGGAACCCTGTTCTCCCCAATCAGCAATCGTACACCCAACCGTTTTCTCCGACTTCCATCCTCACCCTGGTTTTACACTGTCTAGACCAAACTATCACAGGTTTGGTGCCAGGCAACACCTCCCTCCTGAGTTTTATCTCAGATGGGGCTGTGTTTCCCGACTGCTCACTTCTGAGGACTGCGGCTTTGACTCACTCAGACTCTTTGGGGAAGGGTCTCACTGAGCAATGGCTAGGTGCCAGGAAAGTTTGTAGGACCCTGCTGCTGCTGATGCCCAGAGACTGTGGCTGGGTGCCAGCCCACCCCAGGAAAAGTTCACTCGATCGTGTAGTAGCAGCATTTCAGGGATTATGGAAAATCACAACACACATCTGGCATCAGGCTTCACGCTTAACAACCCTGTTCCAGCATCAGTGAATGATGTTGTTCTCTGGGGTCTGCTAGGACCGGGTGGACACACAGCCTCTATCAAATGTCCTTCCAGCAGGGGAATTCCCTCTCCCCATGTGGCCTGAGGATCCCAGAGACCACTCTGCTCATGAGGATTCGTCCTTCCCACTAGAGAGCTGCCAGGTATTGAGCTGTGGAGTTTCAGTCTCTGTGCTACCCCTGCTTATAGAGTCTTAATGGAATTTAAACCCTCTCCTTTCTCTTTTCTCCCTTTTTAGTTCAGTCCCTGCAGCTGTTTCCACTGTTCCACTTTCTCTGTGGCTGTTTTGCGGAGGGGGGTGCTTTTCATATACTCTCCCCCCATCTCTGTTCTGTCTTCACAAGCAAAAACAGCTACCTGACCTCTGCACCTTCCCTCTCCCCTAGTTCACTTCTCTGCACCATGTACCTGCTGAGCTCTGTGGTTCAGGTTGTACAGATTGTTGTGTTAATCCTCAAATCAGTTTTCTAGGTGTGCAGGATGGCTTAGTGTTGATCTGCCTGTATTTCATGGATGCAAGATGGAAAAAAAAAAAAAACCAAGTATGTCTTCACATTTTAAGCAATCTTCAATTGTCAAATGATGTATCCAGGAAAGAATATCTATACATTTTCCTAATTTACTATGACATACTTCCTAAGATATCTGAGATCGTCGGAGGCCGGCTCCGGCTGGGTCCAGGGGTCCCTGAAGGATGGACGGTGCTGGCAAGAGAGGGAGGAGAGAGTCATGAGAATCTTTCAGGTCACCAGGCAGATGTCTCTGCTCTGACTGGGGCTCAACTTTATTTTATAATTAAGTGTTTGGGGGATGGCACAGAAGTGGCATTTGCCTTAGACAATGATTTCTGATGACAAACTTCTTTGATATGTAAGAATTTCCTGGAACATAGATTTGTAGAAGACTCATGCATAACCTTTATCAATAGTGATTGAGGTAGGTGATTTAGATGCTTATCCTATGGGGAAGGAAGGTATCTTTAGCATACAAGACAATGTTTTTAGCATAAAAAGGGTGAAGTTCCTTCTTTGTGGGCAGGGGTCAATAGCTTGTTTGTTTAAGGTGAAGTATCAAGAAAAACAGGTCTTTCAGGAAACACAATGTTTGCTTCTATAATCACAAAATAAAAAGTTCCTCAATAGGTTCCTTCACAGTGTGCAATCAGCATATTCAAGGCCAGAATAAGTCACTCTAAATACTGATCACAAATGCCTTGGGGGGGGGCGGTGCTCTAAGAAGAAACAATTGGGTGAGGGTGCATATCTGCCCTTAACTCTAAATTAGGCTCTTTGGCTCAGTGCCAGACTCAATTGTAACTCTTGTGTTCTTAGCCCCCTTTATTATGTAAGTCTTGGATCTGCAAGGCCCATAGGAAGAGCCTTTTGACAATCATCCACAAAGCTTTCATCTGAAGTCTCTTTTGAAAAGGCAGGAATATGCTTTTCCTTATGAGCAATCTGTGTGGGGAATATCGGTCTGATCTGGAATATTGTGAGGCCTGGTCAATACCAGCAGCCTCATTTCCAACATGAACCAGTAGTAGCAGGAGATACCAGTTTTCGTTTCTCATGGCAGGAGCTGTGCAAACGCTGCCATTTCCTCACTGTGACTGTCCTCCAGTGAGGCCAGTGGATCCCAGCATGAGATCTTTATTTGAAGTCACTGTAGAAACTACTTCTTTCCTAAGCAATTGTATTTAATCTAATTAATTAAAGACAAAGACCTATATGAGAAAACTTTTTGTATTAATAGGCTTTATGGGACAAACTTACCTGTTATTTCTAAAGCAATATCAAACACTTCAGCAAGGCCTACATATGATAAGGAATCCTATGATATTAAACTATTTTTAGACAAAACATATTTCTTTTATTTTTGCTAGACTAAATTATAAATTATATAACATTATGAGAAATATCTGTAGCTTACCACTGTGGAACTATACAAAGTCCAGAGCACTTTTCAAGGTCCAGTGACAGAAAAATGCAAGTGTGAAGGCCAAAAAGTGCATCTCTTACTGAATCCAGTATTTAAAGATATCATTAGGACTCATTAAGACTCTGTTTTCTTGTCTGCTTTGCAATCAGACAGGATTTGTCTGTGTGACAGCAAAATGGCTGCAAGCATTCCAGAAACCTGGAGGAATCTGAATCATCCAGGGTAAGTTACACGCCTATCTCCATGGCAACCACTGTGATCAGAGAAATGCAGCGCTCTGATTGGTCAAGGCCTGGACTGTAAACTAAGAGCGATTGGGAAATGTATACGGCCTAGCCAGGCCTAGCTCATCATTAGGAAATGGGAGAAGGTGTAGCTTCCCAAAGGTGAGGTGCTGAAGATGTTTATCTGTATATTTTTTCTTTTCACTTAATCTGTTACTAAAATATCAAGCCCAGAGGAATGAGTTAAAAGTTCTGAACGTTTCAGGGCGCCTGGGTGGCTTAGTCGGTTAAGCGTTCGACTTTTGCTTAGGTCATGATCTCGCGATTAGTGGGTTCGAGCCCCGCATCGGGCTCTGTGCTGACTGCGAGCTCAGAGCCTGGAGCCTATTTCAGAATCTGTATCTCCCTCTCTCTCTGACCCTCCCCTGCTCACGCTGTCTCTCTCTCTCTCTCCCAGAAATAAATAAAAATATTTAAAAAAAAAAAGTTCTGAACGTTTCTTTGAAGGCTTTCATATTCAAATGTTGGAACCGTCATTTATTTTAGGGAAACATCATCTGATTTTAATACCTAGAATTGGGGCTTACGGTGCACTGTAGACTTTATAGGGGCATCCATTACTCTCTCTAATCAGCTCACACAATGTTTCCAAGTCTATAGGCAGAAATAAATGATACAAATTGGCAAACTTTAAACTAAGTCTCAGGGACAAGCACATGTTCAGGCATGGAAGATCAGAAAGTTTCAAGAGGGCAGGTCCCTGAGATTTCTCTCAGCCCACAGCCTCCTCTTGGAGAATGTACCCTTTCCTTGCAGTCTTACAGGCCAGGCAGTCTTTGTTCTTTCTCCTAGGTATAAGCAGGGTACTGCTGGGTCCTGGCCTTCCAAGAGTCCAAGCCTTCCTCAACCCCCAGCTATTTGTTGCTGCTCCCCTAGCTCCATCCTAAGATTTCACGTGTAATTGAAGTTACAGCACATTATTTCCACATTGAGGTGGGTATAATTCTCATTTTATAGAGATTAGAAACTGTTGCTCAAGGGTGTCTGGATGGTTCAGTTGGTTAAGTGTCTGCCTCTTGATCTTAGCTCAGGTCTTGATCTCAGGGTTGTGAGGTGAAGCCCCTCATTGAACTCTACACTGGGCATGAAGCCAACCTAAAAAACAAACAAAAAAACATTGCTCAGTGATATTAATTAATTGCCCAGATGGACACAGGAAAGTATTGAGCCAGGTCTTCTGCCTAGGTATTGTGCTTTTCCCCCTCTATATGCTTCCAGGTTCTCTCTGGGTCTATGCCTGGCCCTGGATACTGCTGTCAGTCCTCACTTATCTCTTCTAAGCTTGTCGTCTCGTCTCCAATTCTTCCTCAACCCACATACATTGCATAACTTTCTTCCTAAAATTTTTGCTCCAAAGCAAATAATAATATTTTGGTAGTGAAGTTTTTTGGTTTGGGTTATTTTTTTAAGTAATTAATGTTGAAGTAGAAAAGAGGACTAATGAGAGAGAGAGACCTATCATCAGAACCATCAGCATTCCCCTTCTCATCCTCACAGAGGGAAAGAAAATGTTTGAAAATGGCAGCCCAAAAACAATGGCTACAGTTCAAGGAAATACTACAGTAAAAGGAGATGAGAGACTGTCAAATATTTAAGTAAGAGAGTTGATATGAAAGGTTCTTACTTTGGCATGTCTGAGAAAGTATAAGAAAATACAATATTGCAGTTTATTTGCAATATATTTAAGCTGCTTATGTTGACTGCTTATGAAATCAGACTGGGAATTAGGCCAACTCCTGTTGACTTATACTAAATTCTCTCTTTAGCTTATATTGGATGATAAATAAATGCTGATGACTGATATGTTATAATTTTCTCTTTCTTCTGACTCCTCAGAACCCACAGTTTGCCTAGAGTAAGTCAATGCTCTTCAAAAGCCCAATGGTCATATTTAATTTATGTTGAGTCAGAGATACCTTCTCTCTAATCAGTGATTACACAAAAAAATCTGTACCTGAGGACTCAATAACCATCAAATAACCATACATAAATTTGGGCTTTTCCTCCTAATTCCTGAAGATTAGAAAGATAAGGATATCTTTATACATATATCCTTACATATATCCTTATATACATATATCTCCTTAAATATATATTAAATATATTTTATACTTAATAAATATTAATATTGTCATCTTAAATGTAGATAGATATAGGTATAGTTATAGATAGATAGAGATATATGGATATATAGATATAAAATCACCTGTGAAACCCAAAGTTATTATTAAATCCAAACCATGCAGTTTGCAGTGGTGGTTTCCAGAACTAATGGATCAAAGGCTAATTGAGTAATGGATTGTGGGAAAGCCTAAATCACGATTAAATAAATAAGGAGTTGGACTCTGTGTAAAGCTGCATGTGGGGGTGCCTGGGTAGCTCAGTTGGTTGAGCATCCGACTCTTGATTTTGGCTCAGGTCGTGATTCCAGAGTCATGGAATTGAGCCCCATGTTGGGCTCCATGCTTGATATTCTCTCTCTCCCACTGCCCCTCTCCCCTGCTTGTACTCTCTCTCTCCCTCTATCTCTCTCTCTCAAAAAAAAGCTACATATGTAATTCTTTATAAGAAATTCATAACACTACTGACTGACAATGGGCCATATAATATGCAAACAGGACACAGTTGAGAGGAAAGGAAATAGGCTCCACATTAACGATTAAATAAGCTACTTTCAAACTCATTGAGCTTGTTTCCTCATTTGTAACATGAGGATAGCAACATTATTTACTACAATGGAATGTTGTGAAGGGTTAACAATATAATGCATGGAAAGCACCTGGCACACCCAATGATGTGCTCAGTCAAAAAAAAACAAAAAAACAAAAAAACAAATTTCCTCCAAACATTCGTTTGGTTTAGAAAAAATGCAATCCTTTTCTGTACAGTAAAAGACTAGCAAAACTGTACTATTAGGTAATAATTATAACTCTTATAAGTTGTTTCATATTATACAAAGTACATTACATAGTGTGGAATGAGTTACTGAATCAAAAGAGACAGGTTCTAATGTCAATTTTGCTGGAATTATTACGTCTGTGATCGTCAGCATGACAATCTCTCTGTGCCTCAATTTCACATCTCTGTGTGGGAAGGATATAACCTGCTTCAGGGACTATGGTGATGATTAACTATGACAAAGGAGGTAGCATAAAAGGCAGAGTGACTAGTACATGGTTTCCTTTTCTTTCTCATTCCTATTTAAGACATAAGCAAGGCCAGTGAAACTCCTCAAAATGTTTGAATATAAATGGATTCTAAAATAAGAAAAAATTAGAGGCGCCCGGGTGGCTCTGTCAGTTAAGCGTCTGACTTCGGCTCAGGTCATAACCTCATGGTTCGTGGATTTGAGACCCACGTCAGGCTCTGTGCTGACAGCCAGCTCAGAGCCTGGAGCCTGTTTCAGATTCTGTATCTCCCTCTCTCTCTGACCCTCCCCTGCTCATGCTGTCTCTCTTTCTCTCTCTCAGAAATAAATAAAACATTTTAAAAAAGAAAAAATTATATGAACACATATATTGGAAATATAAATAATAGTACTAAATTATTTCAATTTTCAAAAGCATAGTAATTTGAAATAGCATAAATAATCTCCTACATCCTCAGGCATGCCCACATCTGCTACATTGTTGCAAATACTTTCCATTATGGATTGTTGTTTTAATGTAAATATTCCTTTTGCCTTATGAAATATTATTTCTTTGGGGTGTTCTTTCTAATAAAATTGTCACCATAAAATCATCTCTGCCAACTTATTTCTTTTCACATTTTCTACATCTGTATAAAGCCATGCAAACGTGGTTGGCATTTCTTACTCAAAACACATCAATAACATTGGAGACCAGGGTACACTCATCTTTTCGTTGTCAAACTAAAGTCAACTGTTGTGCTATTTGGAATATTAATGGAGAGCCTGTCAGATATTCAAATAATAGTGGAACAATGTTTATCAAAATCATTATACCCAGAGGGAAAAAGGGCAAAACCATGGATATCTAAAATAAATAAAACATGAATTTTTTAAATTACCGTATTAAAGTCTTCAATTCATAATGAATATTAAAAAATTAATATGTGGCCAGTACTGAACAAAATATGTGAAATCCAAGTACAATGTATTCAGAATTGGTAATGTAATGTTTCAAGTATTATCTCTCTCCTGACAAGGTAAATTATTGTTCATCTTAATGTCACCCAGAAGTAAAGTATTTGCCTAAAAATGAATTTTCTCTCTTTTTAAATATGGCAAATTAGTGATTTGTATCTTCCCTATTTGGGGAATAAAATGTTGTGTTTCAGTTGAAAATAATTTCTGATAGGCTACTTGAGGATATAAAAGATATATAAATGAAAGAAGATAGTGCTAAAAAAAAAAAAACAAAACCCTTAGCCTACTTCTTTGTGTTATTAGTTTGAAAAGAATATAGGTCAGATTGACCATGACCATCAGTTTTTCTGGTAATAAAATTCATTTTCATGTAGTTTTACATGGAGAGAAAGCAGATTCTGGCCATGTTGATAGGAGGATTCCAGTATTTAACACAGATGTAATGGCAAAGTAATAAATTGGCACTCTGGTTTTAAACATTAGCTTTAGGAGCTTGTGCTTCACTTAAACTGAACCCAATTCTGGAACTGACGGAATTAGGATTTTAAACCTATCCGCTAAGGACCACTGCAAATGCTCCAAAGTACCTCCACTCCAGGAAGTCTCTTCTCTGGGAGACAGTAGCTCTATATGATTTCACTGTTGGCCTTGTGACTTTCCATGTGCTCTGCTAGAGTTATGTGAGAACATAACTGTATAGAATCATCAATGGGTAGCTTAGCAGTTTTCAAGATGAGTATTTACCTCCAATCTCTTTCCAATGACAGATGGTTACATTAGATTGTATTCTTTTCTAGAACATCTTATTTCTTGACACAAATAACCATTCCATAATTTGTCATTTTTCTTGTGGGATATTTATATGTGTGCTTTGTTTTTATAGTGTGCTAAGGGCCTCCTAGAATTTAATTTAGGAGTCATTGAGATAATCTGGCAACTTCTGCAGAATAGAGGAGGGTTATTTAGGAAAAGAAATATCACCTCCTTCTGAGAAGATAATAAAAGAATTTAAGATCCAACATCATCTGTTTCCAAAACTCTTTCATTATTGGGTGGCCTTTAGAAATACTATGGCATAAAATTATCTTGGGTGGGTAAAATTTCAGAATCATTTTCTCCAATTCAATTCAAAACAAGGAGCATCTGTAGATCAAACGGCTTTCCAAACCCAAATTACACAGTGGGCTGATGAGCTAGCAGAATGAAATTCTGTTGTTGACAGGAGGAGCTCAGCAGTGGAGGAGGGAAAAAAAGGGAAGAAAGATGCTCCAATTCATCTACTGAGAAAAAGACGTAGAAAAGGAAGTGAGCATGAGCAAGTTAATGTCGCACCATTCTAAGAAACTGTGCTCCAGAAACTGATTTTCAAATTTGCTTGAAGGTAAGAACTATCTACAACCCTTTTTGAAAAGCTCCCAGACCTCATCCCAAACCTACTAAACTACAGTGTGCTCAGGGATAAAACTTGGTAACCTGGCAATCTGTGTCTATTACGAACTCTTAGGGGATTCTTTTCAGGTAAGTTTGTGATACTCGGTTTGAAAAGAGAATGTTAAGTTGTTAGCAAAGAAGATGCTTCTGTGTGCTTATTGTGATATTCTGAGCCTTGGGAATAGTGAGTCTTATTCCTAATAAGATGATAATCCACTTGCCAGACTCAGAATATAAGCTCAAATTCAAAAGAGCACAACAAAAGTAGTAAGGCTTCACAATGTGGGGCAAGAGCGTAAGCAGACTCAACAATAACAAGAAGTTTAAGGAAGACAGTAAGGCATATTACTAGTTGCAATTACTTTAAAAACAAACAAACAAAAAATGCTTTGATATCTGTAATATGAAAACATCGCTGCAAATCCTGACTTTTTCAGCTATATTTTTATTATCTATACAAAATGAGTGATGGTATCCAATTTATAAATGCTTGTTATCAGAGCTGATATGATAAGTAAATTAAATAATGTGTTTGAAAGTGCTACATGAATGGATTATGACTACCAGGTTAAGAGTATGAAGGCAACTGTTTGTGGCAGGAGAATCCAACAAGGTGTGCAAAGTTACCCTGAGAATATATAGAATGTGGCTAACTGGCAGCAGAAAACATAACCTCCTCTAGTGGCCAGTAGTTCATCTGCAACGTCCTTCTCCAGACCTAGAAGGTAAAACAGGATTCAAGTTACTTGGGGAAGAATCCAGTGCGTAACTAGAAAGTTAACAAAATATAATTCAGACATATGGAAGAAAACTCAGTTTCCACTTCCTGGAAATGGGGTACATGATGGGAGCTTTATATAACACAAGTTATTAGCACTGAAAGCAAAATCAGTTAAGGTTATTCCTAAGACTTAAATTCCCCTTGATCAACTCTGGCAAAGTTGAGCCTACAAATGGAAATCAAATCCCAGTTGTAAACAATGGGAAGATTAAGGAAACTAAAGATGTTTTTACACATGGGCTGATAAACCACATTAATGAGATAATGCTTATTCAACCACAAAATGGTGTTCAAGATAGATAGCTGCTCCCAGCGAAAGATTCTGGGTATACCCAGACAGAGGTTTTAAACGCACATAGCCTTTTATGCACGAGGCAGGTGAGGTACAACAATGAGGGAATGTGAGCATTGTTAGAATTTAAAATGCATTATTCTAAATTAATAATCTAATATAAAATTAAAATTTAAATGCAGCCCCACACAGATTTTTAAAGACCTACTGACAAACAAAAATGGTCTCTCAGCTAAATTAAACAACCAAGCGACCAGGCTCTATCACCTAGCCCATGAAAGGCCCAGGGACGATGGCACAGACAATATCTTCATTAATATTAAAAGTTTTCTTAGTCTTTGGATTCAGATTTAAGAAACATTCAGTTAACACCTACTGTAATCCAGGCACCTGATGAGGCCTTCCTATATATTATATATATTATAATATATGTTGTATTTAATGTGCATGTAATTAGGGGAAAATCAAAGTATTATGATGATTCTGCTCCCAGAAAATGTCTCAAAATTCTGAATAAAGGGTTTTAATTGTATTAGTATTAATGATAATGTTATTGCTAACAATAATAATCAAGTAAATAAATTAAGTAAAACATAAGCAATGCAGAGAAAACAATTAGACCTATGCATATTAGAACATTTAACCTTGTAAATGTACATACATTCCCTGGAGAACTTAATTACCATCCCAGGCATTAAAGAACATAAACTATCCCAAGTGGAAACATGTAACACAGAACACAAAAGTCCCATTAATCCATACTGATTTCATTAAGTACTCTAACCTTCTTGTAAGTATTCACAGTGAATTTTAAATATATGCATTCATCGCTGCATTTGAAAGAATTTCACCACCTCTTGAAAAACAATAGGAATAGAGTGCCCTCTAGAGTCTCACATGTATTTTTAATGCCAAATTGAGGGGAAAATCTCATTGTAATCATTTCTGGCTATGCTCATTAAAATTTGGAAATGTGGCAGATTTGTCTGTTGCTGCTACAAAAATGTACGTATCTTAAAAATTCAAATTCAGTGTAATTCTTTTTCCCCCAAGAAAAATATCTTTGAACACTAGTTATTTATGCAGAATCAAAAAAATTTTTTGCTAAAGATTTTATTTTAGATATATTACATTCTTTCTTTTTACTTTGATATGTCAAAATATATTTGACACATATCAAATACCAGAAGGGCTATGTTTGTCTTTTATGTTTACATGTTATTTGTTTATAATTATGCATTTATTTCAGTCTATAATTTCCCAAAAGGAGAAACACAGCTGTTAATCTAACATCTGAAGTTTCTACCTTAAACTGAGATCATCCATGAGGATGACTAATAAATACTTCAACAAATAGATAAAGCAGCACACAGTGTTAAAATAGAGGCATAACTAGATATGCATTTTCCATGTTTAAGATACATAGATCAGGCCAAGGCTGTAACTGTCAGGCTATATATAAAGATTGATATATATTATATATAAACATAGTTTTAAGTATGTGTAGCCTGAAACTGCAAACCTTGAACCAAAAACTAAAATTCAAAGTCTAGAAAGATGAACAGTCGCTTCCTGCAGTTTAATAAAAGATAGGCTTTGCTTTAACATCCAGCTATCAAGTCTTTATCAGTAAAGTCAAGGATCCAATTTCCTTATCTCTAGAATGGGTATAATTTTGACAGCAGAGCTGTATGTATCCAATGTGAAAACTCATAGAAGGGCTTTATAAGATACAAAAACGTGTGTGTGTTTGTGTGCAGTAATATTTATGTTATGTATATATAATTATATATATATATATACACATATATATATACACATATATATACACATATATATATACACATATATATATACATATATATATATAATTAAGAAGATTAGTTTAGTTTGGCTAAATTAGATCATACTTAAATAAAAACATTACGCATTCTAGTATTACCCCTGACCACTTTTCAAGCTTGTTTGCCAGTCTTCCCTCTTTGCACATATATTAACTATTCCTCACATATAAATATTTTACACATTCTTTGGGACTTTTCCCCATGACCTTTCTCTTTTCACTTGAAATGTTTCCTAGGGAATCTCTTTCCCTCTGATGTCTTCAAGTAACATTCTCCAGTCTGGAAACACTTAAATTTACTTCTACAGATCTACTTCCAAACATCTAGATCTATATTTCAGCCTCCTTCATCCACAACATTAGAGAAACCCTGAGGCTAAAGTCAAAGACATACAACATGTTTGAGACAAGATGCTGTCAGTGCAAAATGACTTCTAAGTAAGTCAAAACATACTTAGAACAGCATCCCCCCCACCCTGGCCCCAGTCACAGCTGGACTCAGAAATGACCAAGAGGATGTGAGGGCACCAGAGACACCTTGATATAGTCCACCCCGGTCCTACCTAGATCCACCTGTGTCCTACATTAAATGAAATCTAGCACTGAGAATTCAAAGTGTTGGCCTCTTCAAAAACCTTAATGCACAAGGGCTAGAGGCACAAACTACAGATGCTGCAACTGTTACCCAGACCAAAATTCATATTCATTACCTCACTTATCTATCATTCTTTATATATTTTCTTCTCCCTTCTGTCTGCTGTTCCATCTCTCCCCCCACTTGTCTACATTGCTTGCCTAGTAGAGTGACACAGAGTGGAGTGTCACAGCTCTTCAGCCAGAGAGTCTGAAGTTTTACTTGCTTTGTTATTATGTTATTATCAGTATAATTGCTTGTTCATCATTTTTACCAGACATGGAAATACCTGATGTACATCTTGAGTTCCACTGTTTAGTAGCACTCCTATCTCTTCATGAAATTGAGGTTCATTTCCCTATGAATATAATTATTTCCTTATCTGCTGGTTCACTGCCATGAGGAGCCTATAATAAAACAGGAGTTACTCTTCACTCTTTTGAAGTAGTCACAACTTCAGGTTCAAGGGACACACTGTATTATTGAGTGAAAGTATTTCCCTCATCTCTAAAAGGGTTATTCTGTCCACCTAATTGTCCAGTCTTTCTTTTCTGTTGGATGTTATCCAGAGGATAGTATCATCATATAGGAAGAGACAGACACACTCATATGTCCAGCTCATGCCTCTAATTCAAACCTTTTGTCCCTAATTTAATCTTGCCCATTCTAGTCTCCTGACCAAACCATGCCATTCACCACCTTCTGGGGTGATATATCTTTACCACAGGCCACTTGTCCTTCATACAAAATAAACAACCATGTCTAATACTCACATCTCTGTTCACTGGGAATACCCCCCCCTTCCCAACTATTCTTTAGGGCCACCTTTGAGTAGCAGTCGAGTGAGGCAGCAGCTTATATTTGGCTCCACATATGGTGTCAACCTTTTTCTAAACTAGGCCTTATATGTGAGGTGAGGGAGATATGATTCTGTTAGTACAACAGAGATAGGTAAAACAGAATTAGGGTCACCTGTTAACATAATTTATTTTCCTTGTGATCTACTTGCGTCTGATCCCAAAAAAGACACTTCGATTTATCTTAGTCCATTTAGATTCTATAACAAAAATACCATATACTGAGTTGCTTATAAGCACAAGACATTTATTTCCCATAATTCTAGTAGCTGGGAGGTCCAAGATTGTGGTGCCAGCAGATCTGGTGTCTGGTGAGAATCCATTTCCTCATAGATAGCTGACTTTTTTACTACAACTTCACATGGTACAAGAGGCAATTTGGGCCACTTTTGTAAGGGCATCAATTCCATTCATGAAAACTCTGCCCTCATCGCCTGATCACCTTCCAAAGACCCCACCTCCACATACTATCACCTTGGGAGTTTAGATTTCAACATATAAATTGTGGAGGGGACATAAACATTCAGAACATAGCACCATTTT